TAGTTTTCTGGTCTTTACTAATTTCTAAAAATATAAAAAAAAACTTTCTTTCGCATTTTCATGTTGGGGTTTTGTGTGTGGTGTTTGAGGAAAGAGATAAATATAATGCTGTTTGGAATAAGGCAGTAACTGAATATGGAAAAAGTACAGCACTGTGAATACTTTCCACATGCACTAAATGTCTTAAATTTTGTGTCCAACTGTATGTGGAAATCATCCCCATCATTATATCATAGACTTTGTGGACTAGCATGAGATGGCCTCTGATATAAGCTGCTCAGATGACACCACAGCAATGCACCCATCTTAGAACAATCTGAACTTTTTTGAAGGCCCAGGCAGCATATCCAGCAGTGCCTCTGGTCTGCCACTTAGCAACACATAATGGGTTTTAAAGAGCTGTACAGCACTGGGGCTGGACAATAAGGCCAAAACTTCTATAGAAAATATAGTTCTTAAAATCAGTTGATATGATATAATTTCATTATTGATATAAACTCCTAAGGGGAGTGTTGGCCTAGAGGTAGGGCTTTACGCTTGGAATCCAGAGGTTTTGATTTCAAGCCCCAGTCCCACAGACTGCCACTCTGGGTCCCTGAGCAAAGACCCTTAACCCCACACTGCTCCCTGTGCGCCACACAATGGCAGCCCACTGCTCCACAAGGGGATGGGTTACATGCCATGAGTTCTTTCCATTGCTCTGTACTTATGACAGTGTAATGACAATAAAAGCAGAAAAAAATAAAGACTGCCAAGAGTGCCCACAGCTGATCCTTTATAAAATTCTAATGCAGTCTATAAATTTCCTCCAACAAATTTTCATTTAAATAACTGATCTATTTTAATTTGGCCCTCTACGTTGAACAGATGAAATGCACATTTAATCATGTAATTATCTCCACCTACCCAAGGTTTATTGCCTTTATTGCAGTTTTTGTCATTGATTCCTTTATTCACTCCTAGTAGCTGTCATACATTCAAGATGAAAAACCCACCTAAGCCTGAAAGACTATGTTCACAAGTCACAATAACACCTTATTAAATCTGAAACATCTAGCTTTTGAAAAACTCTTGTTGACACTATAGGCAAAGCTTTACAAGGATTTTTTTTATTTGAGCTTGTTAAGATTTCCTACCTTCTCTCTCATTAATGCCGTAGCTTTCACCTGCTCTAGGCTTAATTTATTATGGTTCTGTTTCTTAATAAAACTTTATTTATTATGCACTTCTAATCTTTAGTAATACAAAACAGATCATCCCTATGTTTCTTTTTTTACACGGCCACAGCAAAAGTTGAAAACAGAGATGTTTTCTAGTGTAAACCAAACCTTTATCACAGCAAAGAGACAAGCTAAATCCATTCACTCATCTAATCGGCTATGAGTCTGTGACAAACGGCATACTAACCAGAGACTGTAATGTATCTTAGAAAATCATAAATGTGTTTTAAAGTTATTTCATCATTATTGAATAAAAGGATATAAAGTTATGAATAGATATTAAGCTATTGTCCAACCCTGTAAACTTCCTTTAGAGCTGCCTTATTAAAAGAAGCAAACAGGAGGCAATGTGGTGCTGTGGATGAGCTGCAGGATTGAAACGATGACTATAGGTGTTAAACTCAACAAAAATGGCTTTAATAAGAAACAGACAAAACAAAGCAAATGGAATTCCAGTGTGAAATTTGTCAAATGGCATACAGGGGACAGATTAACTATGTAGAAGAATGGGTTTGGGTCAGATGAAACGCAAATGGAACTTTATGCTTTAAATTAAAAATCTCAGTGTCTGTTAGAGCTATATTATGCACTTTGGTACCAAAAGAAAGAAGAAACATACAAAGAGAATATGGCAGTTCAGAAATTTCACACAGAGACAGCGCTTTAGCATTTGGTTTAAAACACATTCTCCGTCCGTTGCAGATACACTCGACTGAAGCTGCAGCTCAACCCCGAGGGACGAATTCCTGTCAAGAAGTAAGTCTTTCTGACTCATCCTTCTCTCCCCTGGCACCTTTCAGCTCTTTTGATCAGTGCATACTGTAGCTTGCTCAGTCTTTACACTTTACTCTGGGCATTTGTGCACTTCAATATCCACAGCTTTACTGTGAATGTTAGAATATATTGGAATGTATAATCCCTCACCTTTTCGTTTCCATTTTGGTATTCATTTTTATTTTTAATGTAAAGTATGTTATCTGATTTGTTATTAAAGCAGCAGTTATGTAGCATACATTTGGGGGTGTGAAGTGAATCTTTTGTTTGTTTCTGGTTAGAGGGTATTAGTTTCATTTGTCTGGGTCTTTGTCATCACCTCAATGAAAAACTAACTCCATCTATTGCCATTACTCAAGTTGAGCTTACAGGCAGCAACAGTGAACCTCTGTGATAACCTCCCTTAGAGCCACCGTGGAAAGCAGTGGGTGTCAAAACAGAGAGCCAGCGACACGCTCCTCACCGTTTAGGGAATTAACCTCCTGGCTGGGAGGACATGTCTGCTTGAGTAATGTCAGTTTGACGGTGCTGTCCCACTGAGCGTACAGCATGTCCTCATAGATCCACACAGGCATACCTCAGCCAATAAATAAAACACACTACAGCAGATGAAAAACAAGTCTAAACAATCATGTGGAATCTGTAATGAACCAGAGATCACTGCAGTAAATCATATTTATTTTCTGTGTATGTAAGAGTAGAACAAATTACATTTCAGCTTCTACAATATGCTACACCAGTCAGAAATAGCTGATATCTATTGTGATATAAAAAATAATAACTGTTTATTGTCTTAACTATTATCTTAATGCATGTATGATGAGAAAGAAGTAGGCTTTTAAGTCTTATGTTAGTTTTGTGCAAAAATAAAAATGTCTTCAGCATGTCTGCCGATTCCCTAAATTTTTTGCTTTTCTAACACCGAATAATTTTTTTCTATTGATTGCTCACAGTTATGGTTTTATGTCTCCAATATGTAAGCTCTCTCAGGGAGAGGTCATACATAGTTAATTTGGTTTGATCAGGGACCACAATCTTTCAGATTTCATAAGAGCTGCCTTAACTTATAGGGGTAATATTAACATTTTGTGAGATTTTAATGTCGTCAAATAAGTCTATAACACATTAAAGACAAGAGAAATGTGGTACTTCAACAATTGAAATACTGCAATTTAAGTTCTCTTTAATGAATTTTGAACCATTTATTTATTAGCTAAAGTGTTGCTCACAATTTTCTGCATTTTTACAAGTGTACAATATATGCACATGGCAAACATTTTTTAAATGGTGATCATATAGCTTATATCATCACATATTTCACTGTAGTTGTGCAAGCTCAGTCAGTTGTGTTATTTTATGATGAACATGTTTTTTCATAAAACTGTATTATACATCAATCCCATTCCCTAACAAATTGGTAAAAGTGCACCACTCATTAAAATGCAAAAAATTGTGATAGAGCCCCTAATAGAATAGGAATTTTCAGTATATCAGATTGAATCTGTTAATCGCCGTTCAGACCTGATCAAGGGGAAATTGATTGATCCTGATCGATGGTTCATTAATAAAAAAAAAAAAAACTAAAACGTTCAGAATTTTTCATTTTTAGTTTATAAGCTTTACATAAAAAGTAAGCAAATATTAATGTTTAATAATAACATTGAGAGATATAATAAAAGCCATAAAGACATTTTATCGAGCCATTTTTTTAAATTTATTTTACTATTGCACTAAAGACGGGGAGCTTAGGCCTGACCTGCTGATTCAGATTTTCAACTATTCATATTTTTGTCATTCTTTTAGAGTTAGTGAAAGGTGAGACCCATATATGCTTTTAAGCTGACCTTTATCTCGTCTTGTCTCGTCTCGTCGTCTCCCGCTTTATCCGGAACCGGGTCGCGGGGGCAGCAGACTAAGCAGAGACTCCCAGAC